AAAGTAACAAGTAGAAACATACCATTATTTTCCCAAACATTAGCAAAAGTATGCCAGCCTGGTGGCCTCTCTTGCACCACTCCATTTTCCTGAACTTATGATGTGCTGGTGATGGCATGCATGAACTCTCCTGAATCTCTGGGCTCAAGAAATTACCTGCCATGGTTCTTGATTCAGAAGCTCCCCTCTTCCTCCATCCATCTTTGTTGCATGTTTCAATTTGAATGACTGCATGGATTGCAAAGCATGTGCTACAGCAAAGACTGCATTGTATACACTGTAGCTGTGGCCAGTCAGGCTCATTTCAAAGACAGATGCAGGAAGTGTCTCCAGCTTCTCGTCCCCCGTGCAGCTTTCCCCAGCCTCCCATTGTACCTCACTTTGGGGGAATATACAATTAAAAGCCTTTCCCAGAAGATCCTAAGAAATACATCTTCTTTTGCAGAGAAAGGATTTCTCATCTGTATGAATTTCTGGAATCCTAGGACCTCCTTGGCATGAACTGCAATGGATAAAGCACCATGGATGATGCCTATGTCCCAAGTATTTTGGATGTGAATTGATGTGAATTCCATCTGGGCAGTCATAACCCAGACTTTTGTCTTCCTTGTAATATCCTCTATTTCTAAAACCTGCGGAAGCATTCTCAAGCATATCATAGTATGAATTTCACCATGTAGAATCACAACGTTGGCAGTGCTATCTATAATAATCTTATATGTTTTAATCCACTCAACGAACGTTTCATCAACATCCTCAGTAAAATAGAGTGATGGTAAAGCTTCTACAAAGTCAAAGCAGATGCCACTCTGGGAAAACTCAGGAAGCACCGTCTGTACAAAACTCTGCCCATTGTCATCATCTATGAAAACCACCCCGATCCATGTCCAGCTGAAAAACAACAGCAATTGTAGGATCCCAGCATTCTGTCGGTCCACATTTGGGAACATCCTCTGGAAGAAAGCTCCTTGAGCATGACCTTTAATCACAGGGGCAGAGCCATACCCAACCTATAAATATGCAAAAAGAATGTTGTTTTACATAAATTCTATTTATTTCCTTCGTAAATAAGAACTTTTGAACAAGTTTCTTTAGCATGCTGCTTTCATCTCTGAATCTTTGAAGTCCATCTAACAGGCATCAGAAGGATGACTGAATTCTTAAAGTCCAGGGCCTCAGGAGCAAATCTTACCTGTGGGATTTTGAAGATACCGAGAATGGTTACCATGAAAAAACAAACATCTGAATTAGGTCCCCCAATGACAGCTACAACATTATCCCCCACATCACACTTATAGTTTGGGATGAATCTTCCCCATGTGGAGAGGAGTTCCAGTGAAGCCAGATAAGTCCTGCTAGCAATAAAATGGCTATTGTAGATGTTGAAGCCCAGGGTGAGGTTGGAAAAGATCTGGAGATTTTCATTTATCTCCTTTACAGCAAATACAAAGGCCAGGATGTGCTGGTAGCTCTGAGTAATCAACCTGCAATTAGATTTTTATGCTGTGTCAGAGTGTTTCACATTTAGAATACAGGACGTGGTGCATGTCTATTCAATGAATCTCTGAATTTTACCCCAATAAATGCCTCTTATTTTAAGAACAGACATATGTATTCATGTGCAATGTTCAAAAGCTAGGGAGTGTGTGGCACTGTGCGCTGTGTTACGGGGTGAGGTTTATTCTAGCTTCTGCCAATCTCAGTTTAAAAGCACACCAGTGCAAGTAGATAAATAGGTGCCGCTCGGCAGGAAGATAAGCAGGGTTTCCTTGTGCTCTGGCTTCTGTCACAGCCCTCCATGTGCCAGTAGTGGTTTAGTCATGCTGGCCACATAACCCGGAAAGCTGTCTGAGGACAAATGCCAGCTCCCTCGGCCTGAAAAGTGAGATGAGCGCTGCACGCCATAGTCATCTTTGACTGAACTTAACCATCCAGGGGTCCTTTACCTTTACCTTTTTTACCTTATTCAGAAACCAGACATATGCATTCATGTTCAAAAGCCAGGTTCATACATGTAAATGCTACTGATATAAAATTTGTTTTATGCAGATGTGAGCTCCTTTGTGTTGATATATTCTTATACTTTCTACTAGACTGATCATCTCTCAAAGGGTGAGGTGACAATGATATAAATGCTACTAAAATTGATCAAAGGCCATAAAGAAACCTGAAGACAAAGCAAAATTAAATGGGAAACCATAAAACCTGCAGTGGAGGGGTGGTTCAGTCCAGAAAATCCAACACAATTATGGTGAGACCTAAATCGCAAATCCAGTCTCAGCAAACCTCTTCTGAATATAGAAGAAAATTATTTACCATGAGAAAGCTGGTTCAAGATTTACAATGCCTCATTTAATTGTGAAAAGATGTGCATGCAATTCCATTTTCATTTGTAATCAGATCACACTTTTATGGTGTCTTTCTATATATTAAATAAATTTTGTATGGATTGTATATATGGATTTTGAAGAAGAAGAAGAAGAAGAAGAAGAAGAAGAAGAAGAAGAAGAAGAAGAAGAAGAAGAAGAAGAAGAAGAAGAAGGTTTACACCTGTCAATATATAATTTCGAGTGACAAAGTAACTAAAAACAGCTATAGCATAAGTTGCAATATGTTTGATGCAAAATATTATAAAGGTTGATAATAATCTAATCACAGTTCTAAAATATGTCTTAAGCACATGGCCCGTCATTGAGTCTTGGCTCTTCTAACTACATTTTCTTGATTCTAAGGGAATCAAATTCTTACAAGATGTCGTCAAGGAGTTCTTCAGAGGGATGTCTTTCGAAGTTTATAGGGTTGGAAAATGTGTAGATCTGAGAAATGATGGCAGCAATGGTTAGGCCTCCAGAACGATAATAGTTGTGGTTTACTGTGAAAGGTTCACTCATATTACACTGAGCAACATTAAGGCCCCTCATTTTGCACGAAAATCTATCTGAATATCGATATTCCTATTCCCTCATTGCTATTCGATTATGTGTCTAAACACAGCCTAACTTGAATGGCCACTCAGTTGACCTTTTGGCAGCCAATACTATAATACCAGTTATGGTTCCCCACCTGTCTTAAGCCCTGCTCTGAATAACACACAGGATATTAATCACACCCATCCATATTGAGTCATTGTTTTCATAGTAGCTCCTGAAACTCCCTTGGGACTTACAGAAAAAGTTGAAGTAATCATGGTCAATTGGATAATTCTTGGGTAGATAATCATGGATGCAGAATTAGAGGTTCTCTGCCAGTTGCAGGTGCAAACAAGCCTATTGTGTGTTTTTTAAGAAGTTTCATCTGGTCCACCTGTGAAGAAACATTTCTGCACTGTTGAGATATGACAGGCACCCACCATTGGTGCTTTCCAGGAATAATGGAAGTAATTCTTCTTTCAACAAGCATTTTCAGCCAGGTGGAATGGTCTCAGCTTTAGATGTTTATTTTGTATTGTTTTTCTAACTTTTTAAATTTTTACATCTTTTAAACTGTTTTACTTGTTCACATGTAAAACAAATTGCAATTGATGACGTACCATTACAAATTGAAAGACTAAATAATGATCTTTCCACTTGATCCCATTTTTTCTCCAGCGTTGTTTTTATTGTGTCTTCCCATCAGTTTTCTCTCTATGCTTTATTTTGTTCCATCTATTAATAACTCATAACTTTTTCACTAGTTGTTTTCATTTTCTACTATTGCTTTTAGCATGTAGACAACCTGCTTAAATAAGTCAGCTCCCTTGACCCTGGCCCAACTTGGCATATCATAGAGGGTGGACTGTGTGGGTCCAGGCACTGATTAGTATGATTATTAGTACTTGATGTTCTTAAATGGTTCCTCCCACCACCGTTTTCTCTCTATGCTTTATTACATTACATCTATTTTTTTACTAGATCCCCATTGTTTTCATTTTTCTATTATTACTTTGCCCACATTGTCTCCCATGTTAGAACAAATATTGAGCCCAATGCTTTTCCAAAGGAAAAACCTTTCCATTTGGTTGAAGGGTGTTCTCAGAGCCAAACATCCCTGAGTGGTCATTGCTCAGTAATATTCCTTCTTCCTCTTGCATTTTCCATGATCACTCAGGCAGCTGTGGCATACTAAAGTAACTCACCCAGATTACAGATGACAGAGCTTTTTGTTAAGCATGGCAATGAAATTCTGGTCTTAGATATACTGTATGCTGTAGGTCATGCACTTTCTAAACCAGCCAAGTATATGTGATCAGGCAGTACGTGACCTAAATAGTTTTGAACAACTTCTTGAAAGATCTCAGACACTGGGTAAAGGTATTATTTCTCAAATATAAAATATTCTCACACAGTGGTCTTCTCCTCCTCTCATCACACTATGATTAAAGTTGGGAAACGTTTGGTTGAGGAACTAGATGAAGAACTTTGGGATCGAATTGGAAGGCTAGGGAGGCTACACAGCATTGGGGAAAGGTTGAGTGGAATGCAGAATTCACACATGCACACTCTCATCCACTTCACAACAAGAAGGCAAGTTAAATGCTGAGCCTACTGAAAGGACAAAGAAATTGTCCTGCAAACAAGGCACAAAGAAAGTCCAGCAAATAACACAAAAAATCAAAACTGTATCATAAACCTCAGTTCCAATAAACATATAACATGATGATGGTTCCCAGTTGAATATGATAATGAACAAGATAATTGTGTCAATTCTTTATTCATCTATTTTGTTCTGTGTTGTTCCATTCACGCACAAAAATAAAACATTTTGGGGAACATGTGCAGTCTAATAAACCAGCATTGGAGGCCTGGTTCTCTACAGCAACCATATATTTAACAGAAATATATCAAACATTTATAAAGAATAACAATTTGCATGGCATTTACATTTTACTGAGAAGATGAAACTGCAAAATATGACATGATGACTATCAAAGGAACGGGATAATAACCAACATGATTGTATATATCTGATTGCTTTATCAAAGCTGATTTAAGATGGATAAGGGCTATATAATATCAGATATGTCAATCCTTTCTTCTTTTTAGTTGCTCCTTGCAGTTCAGTTGAGGTCTCAACACAATAATGTAGAATTTTGGGGAAAATATGCAGCCTAGGACACCAGCACTGGAGGCTAAGATGGAGAAGATCTCCACAGCCACCATATATTTTCCTCTTGTGCTCAGATAAGTGGGGACAAAGGACAGCCACACACTGCAAAAAACCAGCATGCTGAAGCTGATGAACTTGGCTTCATTAAAACTGTCAGGTAACTTCCTGGCTAGGAAGGCCACTGTGAAGCTGACAACAGCCAACAAGGCCAAAACCCCCAAGACACAGTAGAACATGGTGACTGACCCTTCATTACATTCCAGAACAATTTCTTTAGACACAGAGTGCATATCCAAATCTGGGAATGGGGGAGACGTTGCCAGCCACACACAACAAAGGGCGGCCTGAGTCAGGGAGCAGGAAAGAACAATGGAGGTGGCCTGCTGTTTCCCCACCCATTTCCTCATCCTGGAACCTGGTTTGGTGACTCTGAAAGCAAGGACCACAATGATTGTCTTGGCCAACACACAAGAAACTGCCACTGAAAAGATGATGCCAAATGCTGTTTGCCGAAGGAGACACGTCACTTTCTCAGGTTGACCGATAAATAGCAAAGCACAAAGGAAGGAGAACAAGAGGGAGGTGAGGAGAGTGTAGGAGAGGTTCCGGTTGTTGGCTTTGACTATGGGAGTGTCTCGGTGCTTAATGAAGACCCAAAGCACCAAAGCTGTGATCAAAGAAAGAGAAAGAGCAAGAACTGCCAAAGCTATCCCCAAAGGTTCTACATAAGACAAGAAACTGATGTCCTTTGGCATGCATGAATCCCGTTCCATGTTTGGGTATTGATCTTGTGGGCACTGAAGGCATTCATCCATGTCTGAAAAAGAAAATTCAAGGTTCTATGCAGTGCAGCACAATTTGTTTTCTACTAAAATAATAAATATTAAAATAACAAAATAATAAATATGAGTTGAAAGTTATTTTTGTATTTCCCTTGGCCTTTTCTATGGTAACTGAGCATGCTGAGCCTTCTTTGTGCCTTTTCCTTAAGATGGAGAGGCTGTTATAACTTTAACTTTCCCTCCAAAATTGTAACTCTGCAATCTTCAGATTTTCTCTGAACAAGCGCTATAACTTCTTCTGAAAGAGTGGTGGGGTTTTTTTCCCTTCTTGGTGTAGATAATGACCACCTCTCAATGACTTAGGACTGCAATGGTTAAGTATATCATGCTGTATCTTCATATCAAGAACCGCATCCTTCACTGAATTCCGAACAATTTTCTCCACACAAGGGAAATGGATTTCTGAATACCTGAGTGACACTTCATTTGAAAGGCTCTGTGCATGATGTCTCTTACCCATCTGGTTGGAAAACCTCCCTTCAGGACATTGAATGCAGTCATAGCAACAAAATGGCCCCCCTTCCTTCTTTGCTTTATGGTAACCCAATGGGCATTTATCATTACAAACAGAACGGGGCTGCACCTGTCCACAAATGAAAGAAGAGAAGGTTTTCTGTTTTGCAAGCTTGTAAAAAGGACATTACATTCTGGAAACTTGAAGAACTGTCTCATACAGTGCCACCATATGGGAAAGAAGACAGAATCTTTAAGACCAGAATCTCTCTGTCATGCTTAGGGGAAGAACACTTTGGATAGTCAGATTGGCCAAGTTATTTTAGTAAGTTACAGATGGCTAAATGATCATGGAAAAGGCAAGTAAAAGATTGGTGGAAAATGGCCACTCAGGATGTTTGGCTCTGAGGAAAAGCAGCACAACCCCAACATCTTCAAGTGCATCATTTATTTGACCATTCCTCTCTGTAGATTTATATGTCTTTAATTGCCTCAAGGTTAGGATCTTATGGTGAAAATGTTTATAAAAGGTAAAGGGACACCTGACCATTACGTCCAGTCGTGACCGACTCTGGGGTTGCGGCGCTCATCTTGCTTTATTGGCTGAGGGATCCGGCGTACAGCTTCCGGGTCATGTGGCCAGCATGACTAAGCCACCTCTGGCGAACCACAGCAGCGCACGGAAACGCCATTTACCTTCCCACTGGAGCGGTTCCTATTTATCTACTTGCACTTTGACGTGCTTTCGAACTGCTAGGTTGTCAGGAGCAGGGACTGAGCAACGGGAGCTCACTCCATCGCGGGGATTCGAACCGCCGACCTTCTGATCGGCAAGTCCTAGGCTCTATGGCTTAACCCACAGTGCCACCCACATCACTTAATTGACACAGCATATTCAAACATTCTTCCATACCTACACTAAAGCTGTGGGTGAACCCAGAACTGAGCAATGTCAATAGGTGAACTGTGAATCATTCTGGAAGTAATAGATATGCAACAAAAATAAATGGACCTCACCTGGTTAAAGCTTCTGGGCCACACAATGGCTTCTTCCCAAATGCTAAACGCTTCTTCTTGGGGAGCCATGGAGTCTATCTTTCCAACTTTGACTCTCTGAAAGGACTGATTTGGAAATGTGACCCAGTTTATAATATCAAATCCAGTCTCTATCTCCCCATTTTCATTAAAGGAAACCTTTTCCCCAGCACTATTATTAAATATGATCCTCTTAAGAAAGAGGTTAAGCTAAAGAAAAGCAGGGTAAAGAAAATAAAACAAAGGCAATTCTTTAGTATATGCCAAAGGCTGGCAATAATTTCCACTTGATTATAGAACTTTTGCAAAGCTTTATGCTGAGTAATCATAGATATAGAGTAGAAGATGTGCATATACCACCTTGATAGTAATTAATAAAGCAATCCTAACCCTGGCAGGGCAGCAGCAGAATATGACAGGGAGGAATAGCCACCACTGCATCCACAGATGTATCATTCACACCTGCTGTGGTGGAAGGCAGGGACAGCAAAAAAATACTCCCTGCTCATCATCATGTATTTTTGGAATTTTCACATAGTATTCAATTCTTTTTGTACTCATCTGAATCTTGTGAGACCTGGAGCTTCTACAAATTCATCGAGGAAACATAAAAGCTATTGCTTCTATTCAAGGCACATATAGACATTCTTCAGAAATGAATACATCATGCCTCTGAAAACCAGGCACTGGAGAAGAACAGGGGGAGAAGACTATTGCCAGAATGTCCTGTTTGAAGGCTTCCCCAAGCTGTCTTGTTGTCTACTATAGGAAGCCCTTGGACTGAGCCAGCCGGATCCTTCCTTTGTTCTTAGTGTATTCAGGACATTACCTTCCATAACTCTGGATTCTGAAGTTTTACTCCTTCATCCACTGTCACTCTGCCTTTGTATCTAGATGAATGCATGGCCTGCAGTGCATGTGCTACTGCAAAGGCAGCTGTGTAGACACTGTAGCTGTGACCAGTCATGCTCATTTCAAAAACAGAGGCCGGCAGAGTCTCCAGCTTCTCTTCTCCACTGCAGATGCCTTCATCCTGTAGATCTACCATAGAGTTGGGGAACTGACACCCAAATGCCTGCTCCCAGAAAACCCTAAGGAAGCCATCTTCTTTCTCTGAAGTAGGGTTTCTTAACATAAGAAATTTCTGAAATCCTAACACCTCACTGGAGTGGACAGCAAAGGATATAGCACCATGTAGGAAGTCTATGTCCCAATCTCTTTGAGAAGGAAAGGAAGTGAACTCCATCTGGGCTGTCATAATCCAAACTTTACCATTTCTCTTTGTTGCGAGGAGCTCATATTTTAAAACCATAGAGACTGAGACTAACTTCAGGATAATCATTGTCTCAATTTCACCTTGAATGACGACTGCATTCGCACTGCTCCTCATAATAATTTCATGCATTTCAAATAACTCGATCAATGAACTAGTAATAAAACTGGAAAAAAACATTTGGGGGATTCTATATATGAAATCAAAGCAGATGCCTCTCTGGGCTAACCTGGGGATCATATTCTGTAAGAACTTTTCTCCATTGTGATCATTTATAGAAATTACTCCAATCCATATCCACTTGAAATACAGCAGTATCTGGAGAATTGCCTTATATTGAAGCTCCAAATTTGGGAACATCTGGTTACAGAAAGCAGGTTGGATTGTCTTTTCTATCACTGCAGGGGAGCCATATATGACCTAATGGAAATTTACAAAATTATGTGTGGAGAAAAAGATCAATCCTGTATTATTATTATTATTATTATTATTATTATTATTATTATTATTTTGGGGGGAGACCAATCCTGTATGATTTTTTTGTGGGCTGCAAGATCATAATACAGTGGTACCTCAGGTTAAGAACTTAATTCGTTCCGGAGGTCCGTTCTTAACCTGAAATTGTTCTTAACCTGAAGCACCACTTTAGCTAATGGGGCCTCCCGCTGCCGCCATGCCTCCGAAGCACAATTTCTGTTCTCATCCTGAAGCAAAGTTCTTAACCCAAGGTACTACTTCTGGGTTAGCGGAGTCTGTAACCTGAAGTGTCTGTAACCTGAAGTGTCTGTAACCTGAAGTGTCTGTAACCCAAGATACCACTGTACAAAGATTCTGAAGAAAAGGTGGGCTCTGAACCCCACTACAGGGAAATCACAGGCAGCTTAAATACATCATTACTGGGGCTTCCTATTTCATCTCTGTGAATGAATTGATGGTACTACTCATTCTTCCGCCATTACTCAATCTGGAAAGACCATGGGATCTGAAAGAACTGGAAGGAGGAGGAGGAGGAAAACAGGGAGGAGGAGGACTTGTGGACCCCCTCAATGTTGCATGTTGGAAGTCAGTCTCTTCTAAGCAATGTAAACCTCTGAGTCCAGAGACATCAAACCTTTGCATTAAAACTCCACCTCAGCAAAATGTGTTTCCTTATATCTCATCAATCTTAATATCCTTATACACTTAGCAGCTCTTTTGGTTGATTATAGGTTATAAGTAATAAAATGTTACACACACACACACACACACACACACATATATAATAATCAAGAAGTAACAAGAAGCCGAAAGCACCAGCCTGAAGATGACGAGTGAGACCTCGTCGAAACGTCGCCTAGACACCCCAACTTTTACACGGGAAGACACCCGAGGACACCAAAACCTGCATATATATATATATATATATATATATATATATATATATATTGCAATTAATTAATCCTGCAATCCATAGAAATCATAAGATTTATTTCATATACATAGGAAAGGCAGAGCATAATCTTTCACCTATTATTGGCTTTATCCCCTTCAGGTTAGGGTAGTCCCTTTAACAGGTAACACAAGTTAATTGATCATTTGGAGTTTGGTAACCCTTTTAACTATATGTCGAGATTTATTCCATAAAGTTGCAAGATAGATCTCATTTTCAGTAATATATTTTATTTGCCTGAACTCATCCAAGGTCACACCTTGAAATGTTAAAGGTTTTGGCAATCAAATGCCATGCATATTTTCTGTGGAATCTTATGCACAAGCATATAGCATTTTGAATTAGGTAGTGAATAGCTGACCAGAGTGGCTGGGGAAACCCAGCCAGATGGGTGGGGTATAAATAATAAATTGTTATTGTTATTATTGTTGTTGTTGTTATTCCAATTGCAACAGTGATGTTGCGCTCATGTCTGCTTGTGGACTTCCCAAAGGCATTTGGTTGGCTTCTTTGAGAACAGAATGCAGGGCTAGATAGGTTGCTGGCTTAATCCAATATGGCTTTTCTTATATTCTTACTTATGGAAGTATCACATAAAAAAACACACATTGCAAATAAATTGTTTCAAATGGAAACCTTTACAAGTAAACGGATGAGCAGATGCTTTGTTAACCGCTCTGACTGCATTTATACATCTTACCTGTGGAATCTTATAGATGCTTGGGATATCTCCCATGTGGAGACAGACTTCAGAGACAGGTCCCCCAACAACTGCTCCTGGACTGTTCTGACTATCACATCTGTAGTTGGAGGTTAATTTGCCCAGTGTAGAGAAGAGTTCCAGTGAGGCATGATAGGTCCACCTTGCATCAAAATTGCTATTATAGATATGGAAACCCAGGGTGACATTTGGTAAAATCTGGGGATTTTCATTGATCTCCTTGACAGCAAATATCAAAGCCAGGATATGTTGGTAGATGTGGGTTATCACCCTGTAATTAGAGTTACTTGCACTGTGAGCATGGATTTGTCACACAATATGACATATGTTTCTCTTAAATTCCATGCATTATTCCTGAATATAGTATAATAGTTCTGATCGAGGTAAGCATGATACAAATAATAATATTTTTTAATTATTATGCTGCCCATATGATGGGTTGCCCCAGTCACTCTGGGCTCCACCCAACAAAATATTAAAATCACAATAAAACATCAATTCAAAACTTCTCTTAACAGATGCCTTCTAAAAGTCAAATAATTGTTTTTCTGTCTGGCATCTGATGGGAAGGCATTCCACAGGGTGGGTGCCACTACTGATAATATTTCAATGATGAAATATTGTTGCACCCAGATGTGCTTTCATCAACTGTGCTTCCCAGCACAATGCTGATACAGCATTCAGAGCATCTCTGAAATTGTCCAAATCTCAATTTCTTTCCAGATTTTGAAGGATGATATTCAGTATTAGTCATACTCCAAGTAAACCCATTGAAATATCTGAACGAATTACGGTAATCCAGTTCCCTTGATTTCAATGGGTTTACTCTGAATATGACTTAGGCTGACTATCACCTTTAGTGTTGTTCTTCAAAATGGGATCAAATATAAATAAAATCAAATGTAATGAGATATAACTTAAGAACATAGGAAGCTGCCTTTTAGCTCAGCAATGTCTACACTGGCTGGTCGTGGATCTCTGACATTTTCGCTGCCCTACCTCAAGGTGTCAGGGATTGAAAAAGTGACCTACTCTGGACAATGAAGATGCTCTATGTTGGAGTGACGGCAGCTTCCACTTATCAATACTTTATCAGAAAATATGATCAGATTAAAGAAACAGTTTCTTTCTTACAGTCAGAACATTCTTAAATACTTAATGCAGCTATGAATAAAACCGTATGATCATCACAGTGCTGATGGGTAATTTGGCATAGCTAGGAAAGATATATCACATTGAAAAGAAACTTTTTTTAAAAAAACGAACACCTTACACATTGTCTTCAGATATGTCGTTAGAAGGCCTTTCTATGAAATATGTTGGACTGTCATGTCTAAATATTTGAGCTATAATGCTGGCAATAATGAAGTCTCCAGGTTGGTAAAACTTGTAAAAACTAGGAAGAGAGTTGCTGACACTAGATTTCATGTCAGATATCTTATATGCCACTAGAGGCAAAAGGACTGCAAATGGCAGTAGCTCCTGTAATATGATTCCTTCTCTACACCCATTCTGTCGCCTCCACATTATACCTTAATGGGTTCTCTGCTGGGTCTGACAGCCTGATTTGAATGGCCACAAACACAATGACTGTGTCCAAGATCAGATTTACAAAGCCATCACACAGAATTTGATTGGGGATAGTTATGGACTCCTTATGTCTTGCAGTTTTAGTCATGGTTACTTCAGCTGCCTTGAGACCTGGAGAAAAAGTAGCATATAATTATGATTAATTAGGTAATTATAATGGGGAAATAATCACCTATTCTGAGTTACATTTTTGTGAGACGTTGCATCAGAAACCAGGGTCCAGCTCACTTAGGGTTGCCATATTTCAAAAAGTAAAAACCATGAAAATCGACTTGCCTGAGATCCAGGACAAAATGCCACCTTTCAGAAATTCCCCCTGGACATAAATTCCGCCTTTGAAATCCTTGCAGTGTCCGGGAAAATCCAAATGTATGGCAGCCCTAAGCTCACTGGGAAGACAAGATTCTACTCACTGACCTAAAAAATAAAGTCCTTTGGTATAATGAGATATTCAGATGAAAAGAGTACCACAAAAACTGTCCGCATTTGTCTTAAAAGTTGGCATTTTATTCATTTATATTATATTTATATTATATTCATTTATATTATTGCTTTTTTAAAAAATAAATAAAGAGGACACATAGGCACAGACACAGAACAAATGGGTTGAAACAAAAAAGTTTTCGTGTCCTGAGGCCACAGATTCCAAGCTGAGCTAGCTTTTGGGTCGACCAATCAAGAAGGAGTGGGGAGTTAGAAGTTAGACTCTTATGGTTAATCTGTCAGAATTGGAAAGCCCATAAATAGCACTTAACTGTCAGATATGTCTTAGACAGGAATTAGAAGAGGGCCTGGAAAGGGTTAGTTAGGGCAGGGCAACCTAGATTCTGAAAGTTCCTAGAAGGGGCTGGGATTGTGTTCCTGGCTTAATAGAACAGAATAGCCATTCTTGATGAATTAGTTGATTCCTGAACAAGTTAAAGTGGGATTTTAAAGTAATGTTCTTAACCATCTCTGTATAGAGTTTTGACTGAAATAAAGTGTAGTGCCTTATAAGAATAACAATTAAGCTATAATCCTCATCAAGTGTATATAAAGAAAATTATAAAGGGACTCATCATTACTTTGATCCTCTGGTTGAGTCAGGGTCAGCCTACTACCCAGAAGCCAAGGTGAAGTGAACACCTCAGGTGGCAGGATCCACAGGGGTTGCAGAATCAGCCTCCAAGGAATGCCTCGCCTGCTGTTGCTGCCAGGGTGGGAGCAATGGCTGTGGGACCTCATTGGAAGCCCCATGCGAATGCAGCCTCTACACCATTTTGGTGAAGAGGAAACACGGCTTGTCTCCTCCCACCCCTAGGTGTATATTGGAAAACACTACCACATGCAGATAAATGTCAGCCTTCTTAAGGGTTACTGACAGGACGTGCCTGTATTTTAAAGCACCCAAATTGATTCAGGTTTTCTCATTCCCATCATTACCGCATTTACACCCCACATTTCCTGCAATGAGCTCAAGGTGGCATTCCTTGTTCCCCCCTTCCCCATTTTATCCTTACATAGAGTTGCCATACGTCCGGGAAAACCCGGACATGTCCTCTCTTTGGAGGTCAACATCTGGGGGGATTTTTCCCTTTTAAAGGAAATGTCCAGGTTTTCCCCAGAAGTCCCTGAGAAATT